GATTTAGATGATTTAACAAGTTTAGAAAATTCATCCTCTCATATGGCAACAAATGAATCAAATTTTTCCTCATGGAGACTACAATGCACTGTCTGATGCGATACTGTGGTAGACTGTTGCATAGTTATAATTTTGTCCCTGATATTATCGATCTTATAAGTGAAGAAGTTCATAAAGTCATTACTGCTGTGTTGCTTGGACACTTCTGGGGTTGAAGCTTTCTTTTTCGTTAGTTTAGCATTTGTTTCAAATAAATACCTAGGATTATGTTTATTTTCTTCTAATAGGGTTAAAAAATAAGCAGATCTAGCAGCTTGTAATGCCTCTCTGTAAGCAATCGAGCTCTCTTTCCATGAAATCCGAAATACCTCTAGTTTAGTTTTCTTCCAGTTGCGCTCCATTTTTCTGGCTGCTCTCTTAAGGGCCCGGGTGTGCTCGTTGTACCACGGTGTTGGACTATTTTCTTTAATCTTCTTTAAGCGCAATGGAGCAACTGCGTCTAAAGTGCTGGAAAAGAGAGAATTAAAAGTTTCTGTTGCAATATCGAGTTCTTCTAAGCTATCTGTAATGCTGAGATGAAACTGATTAGGAAGATTATTGATAAAGCAATCTTTAGTGGCAGAAGTTATAGGTCTAACGTATTTATAACACGGAGTCGGCTTTGCAGCCTTGGCTAAATGTAATTTACATGAGACTAGATAATGATCTGAGATGTCATCGCTCTGCTGCTCTGCTCTGTAGTCTAGTCTTGAAATGACAAGAGCTTTGACTAGGAACATATTCTGACAAGAAGGGTTTGATTTTCCTGATGTTGTAAAACGCAAAGCTATACAAACAAACTCTTGGTGAATTATGGGTGGTAAAGCTCAACTGGTCATCAAAAACAACCCCCAGGTTCCTTGCTGTCCTGGTTGGTATTGGTGTAGTAGACTCCAGTTGAACAGTGATATTGTGGTCAACAGATGGGTTTTGCAAGGAGTACGAGGAGCTCCGTCTTTGCAAGGTTGAGCTGGAGATTACACTCTATCCAAGCAGAGATGTCAGAATGACAGGCAGATGTACGAGTTGAGACTGTGGGATCATCAGGTTGAAATGACAGATAATAGAGCTAAGCCTTTGATGTTTGTTCTCAAAGTCAATAGAGAAAAGAAGAGGACCCAGCACTGAACCTTGAGGCACACCATTGATTAGCTGATTTGACTCAAACACCCCTCTTCTCCATGAAACCCTGAAAGATCTACCTGTAAAGTTAGACAGAAGCCACCAAAGTACCGTGCCTTTGATGCCCAAGTCAGAATAGGTGAATTGGAGGATTTGGTGGTTTACAGTGTCAAAATCTGCAGACAGGTCTAGTAGAATAAGGACAGATGATTTGGAGTTTGCTCTTGTGCTGTTAATTTTGCCAAAATTTGTGCAGTCTGAAACCATGCAGTGTTAGAATGTAACGGCTAGATGCTTAGCAACCGACAGCCAATCGAATACCTGATATCCATGTGCTTAGGACAGTCATGGAAACATGTGCTGTATATAAACACTTGTTTGAAAAGTCCCTGTAAAGTCAAGATGAAGTATGTGTTCTTCACAAGAGTTTGTCACACCACAGAAAAATGTGTTATTAGCCACCCAGCCAAATTTGAATGATAAAAAAAGCCGCCAAGTAAATAAAATAAGCTATCAAAATCTTGAAAAAATTAGCATTATTCTCTGCTCTCAAACGCTGGGGGCGTGTCCGCTGGCTGCACTGAAACCACACCCACTCGCGGGAAAGCTGCCGGCGGTGATAGTAGGTGATACTGCTTTCGGGACGGGAGGATGAAGGCCGAGGCGGGAGATAGTCGGTTCGGCCCCATTCACCAGTAACAGCGTGTGTCCGCTGGCTGCGCTGAAACCACACCCACTCGCGGCAAAGCTGCCGACAGTGATAGTAGGTGATACTGCTTTCGGAACGGGAGGATGAAGGCCGAGGAGGGAGATAGTCGGTTCGGCCCCATTCACCAGTTACAGCGGATTATCAGTGAATCTCCAACGAAAGTTTATAAAACGATCCTGTGTAAAATGACTACAGAGGCAGGTTTTGGCGGTGATCCTCAGCTCTCCATCAAAGTGTCTCTTCACAAAATTAATCCACCTCTTCTTGATGTGATCGTTTTTCGGAAATTAAATAAGGACATCCAATCTGTTTTGTATGTGATCGCATCCAGATTCAGAATCCAGTACGCATTTCCGTGACAAAGGCATAGCTAGCTAGCAAACTATGGGCTGTAGTAGCCTACTGACAGTAACTCGCGAATGTGCTCTATTGTTAGGGGGAGGGGCCAGCCAGCCTCAGTGCGTCATCAAGTAGGGGTGTGTCCAGGAGCTCAGGGGCTCCAGTGCGTCATCGAGCCCCGTTTTAGCCCCGCCCAAAAAATCTGGAACACAGCAATGGTGAAAAACTGTTTAAAGGTACAATATGTAAGAATTTTGTAATAAAATATCCAAAAATCACTTCCACAGTGTGATATATTTCCTGCAGTTGTGTACTTTACAATATCCCAAAAGTTTCCAAAGATTTTTTATTTCAGAGAAATTCCAATTTTAAATAAGTGGCCGTCCTGGAAAAAAATGTCGCCTGTCAATATCCGCGCTATCCTCGGTTTCCGTTCATACTGCCATAGCCATGACATAACCATGGCGACAGACGTGGACAACTGCGTAGTGCGTAACGTTTAGCGGCACGCAGTTCTTGTTTCTTTCAAACATAGACCATGGCAAGCAGACTTTGGGACAAACAAGGAGAACTACCGTATTTTCCGCACTATAAGGCGCACTTAAAAGCCTTTAATTTTCTCAAAAAACGACACTGCACCTTATAATCCGGAGCGCCTTATATATGGATGGTGAACACACGTTCACCAAGACGGGGAGACAGCGCCGGGCGACTTACACCACTATCTGCCAATGGATCGTGGATGCCTGGGCTGATATATCAGTCTCAACTGTGATCCGAGCTTTCACGAAGGCAGGAATAATCTCTTTATTCAGCCAGCTCACATACCCGTATTTACTTCCTGTTTTCGACCGAAGTCCACAGTAGTTGATTGTCGAGTTCGCGCGTGCGCGCGATCAAACCTCCTCCGTGTGTTCAACATCTGATTCGGATGAACTATCCATTTGAGCTGATATTCTGAGAACACCACACAGCACCGTCATCGGCTGACAGCTGACAGTCTGAGTCTCCACTGTTGCTTAGTTACCAATGATCGCGCGCGCGCGCACTCGACAATCGCCTACTGTGGACTTCGACCGAAAACAGGAAGAAAATACGGGTATTTGAGCTGGCTGAATAAACATAATTTTTATTCATATCTTTCACATTTACTGCAGTCAGATTCACCGTGTTCACTCACATGGCTGTGCACTTGTAATGACACATTAAGGTTGTTAAGAGGCTAAAAGCAGGTTTAAAACTTTTCCCGTTTAAGTCAACTGGGTGCAAATTTTTAAAAGAGGATAACACGGTGTAGGCAACACCGGTTTTTGTCGTTGTTATCTGTACTGACAGCACTCCAAATTTACCAAAAAATGAGCTCAATGTTAAAATTGACCGGAGTTCTCCTTTAACGTTTGAACAACGTTACCATGGGAGTGAACGGAGTTGTCAGAACGCTTAATAAAGTTTGACTTTATCTGACTGTTTTGTTGACATTCCCTTTAGCACATCTAGTGGATGCATAACGCAAACCCAGTCAAACGTTTGACTGCAGTATCTTATGCGCCTTATAATCCGGTGCGCCCTATATATGAAAAATGTTCTAAAATAGGTCATTCATTGAAGGTGCGCCTTATTTACATTTAAATTTATTCATTTAGCAGACGCTTTTATCCAAATATAATAAGCCTTATAATCCGGTGCGCCGTATAGTGCGGAAAATACGGTAAAATGAGGATCAATATCAGCGTGGCATTTTTGAGATGCCGAGAGCTCCACGTCCGCGACTAACTTGGACTTGACAGAGCTTCACGAGTCACGACTTGACAGCTTTATTAGACAGGTGAGCAAATGTACATAAAACAAATCAATGTTATATAACGTTAGCTCAACATGATAAAATGTTAGAATATGGTCAGTAATGTTATTCTAATGTTGATCTAGCTTAACATTACTGCTAGTTTCGTATAGCAAACAAACTAACACGTAGTAACGTTGTAACATTCAACACAATAAATGCCGTTTAGTGTAACGTTAGACCAAGTTAAGCAGTGCAGTGCTGCGTTACCTCACAAGTTTAATTCGTCCAATAAACTGACCTGTGTGAGTAATGCAGCACTTGCGGGTAGTTCGATAGAATTAAATGTCCTTATTCCTTTATATCCGCGGGACTCGCGTGTGATATCTGTCTCTTTAGCAATCGCGACCTCCTTCATACCACTGTAATGTTAAAAAACATGAATGTTTGCACTCATCCATAAACATTATTAGATCCATCAGCTTGAAACAGCAAGTCCCATCATTCAGCTCACCACTGCGTCATAAACCTACGCCTTTGTTATTGTTGGAAACTGCGCCCTCTTGTGGCGAAAAAAAACCTACATACTGTGCCTTTAACGTTCTTACTCCACAATTCAGTAGTTCACAGGCTTTGTAATAGTTTTAGCAATACATTTCTAACATTTATAATGTGTTTAGATTTTTTTTGTTATTGCCTTTACAGGGATTTTAAGCATTTGGGGAGGGAATATGTCACATGGTGATGGAAAACTCACCGATTTGAGTGGTTTCAATTTCAAAAAAATTGGTAGTACACTCGGCAATATATAATACAAGGATGTGCATTGTTAAGGTTTTTATGTAAACAGTGTCATTGACTGGACGAACAAACTATGCGAACTGATACAGCAAATATGCAAATAAGATTGTTAACCCAGGGTTTAGGAATGTACAGTGACGTCAGATTATGAATACCTAGGATTAACGTAAAACCCAGGATCACCCAGATTGTGTGTGTGTGTGTTGTCAGGTGGAGAAGATCCGTGTGCTGCTCCACAAGGTGGGTCTGGGAGATGTGAAGGTGGGCTCAGTGGAAGAGTTTCAGGGTCAGGAGTTCCTCATCATGATCCTGTCAACGGTAAGAAGCCCTTCCTGGCCGGGTACTTTGGAAATAAGTGAACTGTGGAAAAGTTCTGAATCCAGAGACCTACTTTAACTAATTTGGGAGTAACTGAGGCCATTTTGTAGACTTTTATATCCACTGTAACATGTAATGCCATTTTTAACAACCAGACTGACAAACAAAATCGGAGTAAAACAAGAACCATAATAAAGATGTTTTTTTTTTTTTTTATTGTACACTTCACGACACTGCTCAGTATGACATGAGTAGAAGTATAAGTGACAGGTGTTCATATTTATCTTTCTTCTAAGATGAATAAACTTTTTTTCTTTTCTTTTTAACTGTAGGTCCGGTCCAATGAGTCCTTGCTGAATGAAGAACTGCAAAACGTGCTGGGATTTCTCTCCAACCCAAAGCGTTTCAATGTTGCCATTACACGAGCCAAAGCTCTCCTCATTGTTATCGGAAACCCACACATTTTAATCAAGGTGAGATTTAAAGCCCTGTATACTCACAGTAACTGAATGTCTTTTGTATGGATTTGCGAAACGAATCCAATGAGGGGCGCTACACACTATAAACTTTCTGTCAACTCGGTATAGAGTGGTGACGTCACTATGTTGGCCAATCGACTGTTATCGTTACGCTGGTTCCCTCAACAAAAACCCAATAGGATTTTCCCATAGGCTTTTGGATTATCACCAAAAACCAGCTCTGTGATCAACAAAAGTTTATGATACTTACACGTTTTGTCCATCAATATAATTTTCACAGATGAACACAACTTTTATGAATTTTGAAGCCTAAATGCAGTCACCAGAAGTAAAACGCTAAAGGTAGCTATTAACGAATTACACCACGGTCCCGCAAATTCAACGTCACCATCACCAAGCTTCCGACAACTCTTTCAGTTTTTATCTAAAAACATTTTCCCAGTGTGTTTGAGGTAGAGCACAATTATAATCATAATGCTGCTGTAAAAGCGGACTGAGTTTACTTGTTCGGCTGATGACGTTTACTTTACTCGACAGTCTGAGCTTGTTCACACAGACCTTTTTTCAGCCATTTAACCAAAACCCCGTTAAAAAAACCCACTGACTTCGGGACGATGGAACCAGAAGTGCTAAAATGCTAACTGATAAATGGACTGCATTTATATAGCGCTTTAACAGACCCAATGGCCACCAAAGCGCTTTACATGTTGCCTCACATTCACCCATTCACTCACTCATTCATACACCGATGGCGGTGTCAGCCATGCAAGGCTCATCCAGATTGAATCCGGGCATTGAACCACCAACCTTCCGGTTTGTAGACAACCTACATGAACCACTGAGCCACTGCCGAAGAAGATCAGGGCCGCCATGAACCGGTTTAAAGGAATCATGACGACTTGTTTCGTTTGACCTGATTTTTTTTTTTTTTTAAGAAAATAATTTACAAATCTGAAGACCATGGTAATTATCTAAAGACCATGGTAATTATCTAAAGACCATGGTAGTCTATCTAAAGACCATGGTAGTCTATCTTAAGACCATGGTAGTCTATCTAAAGACCATGGTAGTCTATCTTAAGACCACGGTAATCTATCTAAAGACCACGGTAGTCTATCTAAAGACCAGTAGTCTATCTAAAGACCACGGTAATCTATCTAAAGACCACGGTAGTCTATCTAAAGACCAGTAGTCTATCTAAAGACCACGGTAATCTATCTAAAGACCACGGTAGTCTATCTAAAGACCACGGTAGTCTATCTAAAGACCACGGTAGTCTATCTAAAGACCACGGTAGTCTATCTAAAGACCACGGTAATATATCTAAAGACTACGGTAATCTTTCTAAAGACCACGGTAGTCTATCTAAAGACCACGGTAGTCTATCTAAAGACCACGGTAGTCTATCTAAAGACCACGGTAGTCTATCTAAAGACCACGGTAGTCTATCTAAAGACCACGGTAGTCTATCTAAAGACCACGGTAGTCTATCTAAAGACCACGGTAGTCTATCTAAAGACCACGGTAATATATCTAAAGACCACGGTAGTCTATCTAAAGACCACGGTAGTCTATCTAAAGACCACGGTAGTCTATCTAAAGACCACGGTAGTCTATCTAAAGACCACGGTAATCTATCTAAAGACCACGGTAGTCTATCTAAAGACCACGGTAGTCTATCTAAAGACCACGGTAATATATCTAAAGACCACGGTAATCTTTCTAAAGACCACGGTAGTCTATCTAAAGACCACGGTAGTCTATCTAAAGACCACGGTAGTCTATCTAAAGACCACGGTAGTCTATCTAAAGACCACGGTAGTCTATCTAAAGACCACGGTAGTCTATCTAAAGACCACGGTAATCTATCTAAAGACCACGGTAATCTATCTAAAGACCACGGTAGTCTATCTAAAGACCACGGTAATCTATCTAAAGACCACGGTAATCTATCTAAAGACCACGGTAATCTTTCTAAAGACCACGGTAATATATCTAAAGACCACGGTAATATATCTAAAGACCACGGTAATCTATCTAAAGACCACGGTAATCTATCTAAAGACCACGGTAGTCTATCTAAAGACCACGGTAATCTATCTAAAGACCACGGTAGTCTTTCTAAAGACCACGGTAATCTTTCTAAAGACCACGGTAATCTATCTAAAGACCACGGTAATCTTTCTAAAGACCACGGTAATATATCTAAAGACCACGGTAATATATCTAAAGACCACGGTAGTCTATCTAAAGACCACGGTAATATATCTAAAGACCACGGTAATATATCTAAAGACCACGGTAGTCTATCTAAAGACCACGGTAATCTATCTAAAGACCACGGTAATCTATCTAAAGACCACGGTAGTCTATCTAAAGACCACGGTAGTCTATCTGAAGACCACGGTAGTCTATCTGAAGACCACGGTAGTCTATCTGAAGACCACGGTAATCTATCTGAAGACCACGGTAGTCTATCTAAAGACCACGGTAATCTATCTAAAGACCACGGTAATCTATCTAAAGACCACGGTAATCTATCTAAAGACCACGGTAATCTATCTAAAGACCACGGTTATCTTTCTAAAGACCACGGTAATATATCTAAAGACCACGGTAATATATCTAAAGACCACGGTAATATATCTAAAGACCACGGTAATATATCTAAAGACCACGGTAGTCTATCTAAAGACCACGGTAATATATCTAAAGACCACGGTAATCTATCTAAAGACCACGGTAGTCTATCTGAAGACCACGGTAGTCTATCTAAAGACCACGGTAGTCTATCTAAAGACCACGGTAGTCTATCTAAAGACCACGGTAGTCTATCTAAAGACCACGGTAGTCTATCTAAAGACCACGGTAGTCTATCTAAAGACCATGACCATGGTAATATATCTAAAGACCACGGTAGTCTATCTAAAGACCACGGTAGTCTATCTAAAGACCACGGTAGTCTATCTAAAGACCACGGTAGTCTATCTAAAGACCACGGTAGTCTATCTAAAGACCACGGTAGTCTATCTAAAGACCACGGTAGTCTATCTAAAGACCATGACCATGGTAATATATCTAAAGACCACGGTAATCTATATAAAGACCACGGTAGTCTATCTAAAGACCACGGTAATATATCTAAAGACCATGGTAATATATCTAAAGACCACGGTAATCTATCTAAAGACCATGGTAATATATCTAAAGACCACGGTAGTCTATCTAAAGACCACGGTAATATATCTAAAGACCATGGTAATCTATCTAAAGACCACGGTAATCTATCTAGCAGGGGTAAAGGAGATTGGTTCTTGTACTAAACCTCTCAGCCATAAAAACAAGCCGAATCTATCAAATTCAGACGCATCTTGTTTTCTTGCTTGTAATGTCCTGAATGCCATATTTTCAGTTCACTGTGATACTGACAATTTAAAGATTTTAATTTTATTTGCCTAAACTATTCATTCTGGATTGTTGATGGTGCCTGGCATACTGATTCATTTGGTCCTTCTCGCAGTGTTTGTCTAAATCCGTGTGTGTGTGTGTGTGTTCCTGCAGGACCCGTGCTTCAGTGCTTTGCTGCAGTACTCGCATGATAACCGAGCGTTCGTGGGCTGTGACCCTCCAGTGAGTCTACGGGCCTCTTCAAGGTTTGCTCGTTTGGTTTTTGTCTCATTCAAGAACTACTCGTGTCTTTCTTTCCGTTTCTGTAGGTCAGGAATAAATGTCTTCATCACTTCATGCTGTTAATGTTTTTACAGGATTCTCCCCGAAGAAACCTAGACATCACTCTGACCAGCGTTGGATAATTATTCCACGATTGTTTTGTATTAAATAAATAATGCTTATTAACATCTAAATCCCTCTCTGAAAGACCTCACTAGATCTGCATGATCGGAAGAATAGAAACACGTCTTCCTAGTTCCCAGAACAAGTAGTTCTGACTCAAACTTCAAGAGTGTTGAGGCACTGCACTGTGAGAGCCAGTGTTGATTTCTGTTATGTTCCTTGAAATGTGTTTATTAAAATCATTTCAGCAAGTATTGGTTTTGAGTGTTCATCTGTTCCTAAGTGTTCATCGTTTGAGACGATCTTCTGTTTAGTTGTCTGACAAAGTATTGGTGGCCTGAACTTTATTGCCTGACCATCATCTCTAAAGCAATCATTAACAGTCAACTTTTTTTAATATTATGGGCAGGTGTGGTGTATATGGTATTCTGTAATTTGAATATACAGATGTGCTCAAGGTTATCAGAGATTGATGGCACTGACTTTGAAAACATTTTCCAATTTATCAATCCAACATGCTAATTGTTGCGGCCCGGCACCTCGTAAACATGTCTTGGTTTTCTTGTAAACAGATAACTCATGCACCCTGATGTAACTCATGAGAATTGCCAGTCATGCAACCAATCAAATTGGAGCTGGACGTTACCCAGTGAATACATTTGTGAAGTGTTTCTCATCAAATGTTGTTCTTAGACAGTATGTCATTTTTTACAGCGTAAGTGCAGCCGGCTGTTTTGGGTCGTAATAAAGCAGCACTGAGTCTAGTTTTTACAAGGGTTAGCTTGATGCAGATCTAATGCTCGAGCGAGGGTACTGAACACTTTAAAGTGCCGGGATTTTTCATGATTTCATGAACACCTGAAACACGTGACGTGGGAGAGGACGCTGGCGCATGTTAGGCTGCCGCTTCTCCTGCCATATATTTTATTTTATCATAGTTTATGAACTATTTTTATGTATTATTTTAAATTCTGCTGAATTATTTTAACTTTATACTTTTATAGTTTTTTTTTTTTTTTTTTTCCTGTTGCCGGCTTTGACGTGTCTGAAGTTACCAGCCTTTTGAAGTGTTTGTTCTGGTCTGTTTGCTGCACGTCGATCTCATCTGCTGCCGTGTTTCTCTTGCACCGTGCCTGCTACCTGTTTGCTGCCTGCTGTTGTCTCCGTGAGTCCAGACGGATCCCTGGTGTATCAGGCTCTTCACGTAATGGCTGAATAATTCTGAATGGCATCATGCGACTTTTAATCACTTGGATTATTGCCGTTTTCATTACATCTGGAACCAGCGATAAGCAGAGGACTGAACTTTTGGACATCACCATGCTGAGGTACTCTCTATCTGAACTTTTATCTTTGGATCATCTTGGCCGCCCAAATTGTAGTGTTCTAAAATCTCTGCGCTCCTCGCATCTCCTCCGTCGGCCTTGCTACTCTCATAGAGGCTCACGTCAGAGTCGTTTTGTTGCCGGTGCTGGAGTCTCAGTGTTTTGGTCGAACTGTAGGCGCGTGCTGCGTCTCATTTCTGTCCCTCGAGGAATCTGTTATGGAAATCTGATCTATCCAGAGACTTTTTCCCAAAACACTGTGGCGAATGTGCTCTGCAGAAATATGCGAATTGCCCATTTAAACACAAGGTCGATAAACAACAAAACGGCACTTATCGCCGATGCCATTTTAGATAGGAAAATTGACATTCTGTGTCTTAGCGAAACATGGCACAAAGAAAATGACTATCTTAATCTGAATATGTGTGCCCCATCTGGATATAAATACATTGATGCGCCTCGTGCTTGTGGTAAAGGTGGTGGCCTGGCTGTGATATTTGGACCTAACGTCTCAGTTAATGTAATTGATGCACCTAGTGTTTCATCATTTGAATGTCTGGTTTGTAAAATCAATGGAGTTTCACCTGTTCTTATGCTGCTCATTTACCGTCCACCAAAACCTAATCCTGCATTTTTCTCTGAGTTTACTGAGTTGTTGACACTGCTTAGTCCACTCTGTCCTGCTATGGTGCTGACTGGTGATGTCAATCTTCATATTGATGATCCTAACTGTGGAAAAACTGCTTCTTTCATGGACATTTTGGATGGCTTTGATTTCACACAACATGTCACTTTTCCGACCCACAAGCTAGGCCATACATTGGATGTAGTTTGCTCTGCTGGTGTTGACATTAGATCTCTGAATGGCATAGACATGAGTATAAGTGACCATAGACTCATTACTTTTGATATGAATGTCATATCTTCACAAGCCACTTCTAAACGCACTATAAAATTTCGTAACCTCAAGAACATAGATTTCACGTTATTTTCTACCTCTCTCTCTGGGCTTCCTATCACTAACTCCGTGGAGCACTATAATTCCATGCTATCTGCACTTTTGGATGAGTTTGCACCTGTGCGGGAACGGGTTGTTACATTTAGGAAACCATGTCCATGGTATACCCCAGAGCTGCGCTTGATGAAGGCTGCTGGAAGGCAATTAGAATGGCAGTGCAAGAAATCTGACCTGACGGTGCATAGGCTTCGCTATATTCAACAACAGTCTGAATACCACTCTGCTCTTAACATTGCACGTAAAAACTACTATTCTAACATCATTGGAAATGCTGCAACTAATTCTAAAACTCTATTTAAGACTGTTGACAATCTTCTTAAACCAACTAAGCCCATTGTTTACTCCTCTGTTGACCAGTGTAATTCTTTTCTACATTATTTCACTGGTAAAATTGATGATATATACAGTTCACTTACCGCCATCACCACAGTTGAGTTAGTTGATACACTGCCTTTACATCCCCCTATCACTACTTTTTCGAACTTTGACATGGTTGGAGTTGATTTCATTACAAATACAGTTAAGTCTATGAATTCAACCACCAGTATTTTAGATCCGGTTCCTTTCTCGGTTATTAAAAACTGCCTTGGATTAATTTGCCCTCATATGCTTTCTATTCTAAATTTATCATTGAGTTCTGGATTCATCCCTCCAGAATTAAAAATAGCTGCCATTACACCAGTCCCTAAGAAGCCTGGTTGTGATGTCTCTGATTTGTCTAACTTTAGGCCTATTTCAAACCTTCCATTCCTGGCCAAAGTTCTGGAGCGTGCTGTGGCTTTTCAGCTAAATCATCATCTAGCACAAAATAGTCTTCTTGAACCTTTTCAATCTGGGTTCAGAAAAGGGCATAGCACTGAGACCGCCTTAGTGAGGGTCGTAAATGACCTTCTTATCGCAGCAGATTCTGGTGTATGCAGTATTTTGGTCTTGCTAGACCTCAGTGCTGCTTTTGACACTCTATGTCATTCTTGCTGGATAGGATGGAAAATTGGCTGGGTATTTCTGGAGTTGTACTCAGTTGGTTTAAATCTTACTTAGCGCATCGGGCACAGTTTGTAAGCTTGGGCATGTACAAATCGGATACCGTGCCTGTGCGACAGGGAGTTCCTCAAGGTTCAGTGCTAGGTCCAATCTTATTTAATATTTACATGCTTCCACTTGGGCAGATCATCAGCAAATATGACCTTGGGTATCACTGTTATGCGGATGATACACAGATTTACATCACCACAAATCCGGATGCACATTGCTCATTAATAACTTTGCATAGCTGTCTAGCAGAGATCAGCACATGGATGCAGAACAACTTTCTGAAGCTAAATGGCTCTAAAACGGAACTGATGTTGATTGGTACAGTGGTGTCTATTCGTAAGGCTGAGCAGGTTAGTCTGTTTGTTGACTCCAGCAGGGTAACTCCCACTCCACATGTGCGGAATCTTGGTGTAATTTTTGACTCACAGCTGAGTTTTGAAGCACACATAAAACAGGTCTCTAGAACTGCTTTTTACCATCTGAGAAATATTGCACGACTTAGACCATTTCTCTCCTTTGTAGACACAGAAAGGCTCATACATGCCTTCATTACAACTAGGCTAGACTATTGCAATGCCCTGTTCTCTGGCCTTCCAGCAAAATCATTAAACAGGCTACAGTATATACAGAACTCTGCTGCTCGTGTGCTCACTCGTACCTCTCCTCGGGAGCACATTACACCGGTCCTTTCACAGTTGCACTGGCTTCCAGTAAAGGTGAGAATTGATTTTAAAGTTCTCATTCTAACATACAAGGCATTACATGGGATCGCTCCAGCGTACCTACGTGATCTTATTAGCCCTTATACTCCATCACGTTCTCTCCGCTCTGCAAATTCACTCTTATTACATCAGCCTTTGTGTAAGCTCAAGACCATGGGGGAAAGAGCTTTTTCCTGCAGAGCCCCCAAGCTATGGAACCTACTTCCTTCTACAATCAAAAGTGCGCCAACGTTGGGACAATTCAAAGGATTAATTAAGACACATTTGTTCAAGGCTACTTTTTCTTAATTGTTTTTATTGCTCTTGCTGTATTTGTTTATTTCATTGTATGCGCTTTGGGTTTGAGAAAAGCGCATTATAAATAAAATGTATTATTATTATTATTATTATTATTATTATTATTATTATTATTATTTATTATTATTATTATTATTATTATTATTATTTATTATTATTATTATTATTATTATTATTATTATTATTATTATTATTATTATTATTATTATTATTATTATTATTATTATTATTATTATTATTATTATTATGATTTCAATTTGGCCGCGGAAATACGCTTCTATGTACGTTCCCAGACATCCTATAAGGCCCAAAAATCATAATTGCTGTGTTTTGATAAAATCATTCTATAAATGGTCAACGACTTAATACAGTGGCAATCAATAAATAGTTACATATTAACTCTTTCATTCATTCCAGTGGACATGATTTTTTTTCTGTAGCTTTTCGTGGTTCTGTCATGTGATACCATTCAGATTTCAGAACATTATTAGACCATTCAAATCTTCAATTGAAATGAACTATGGTGGTCTGTGCAACTTGATTGCAAATGCCTCTAGAAAAAAATATTATACGTGGAATTTTTAATAATTGTCATCGGGCTATATGTACCGTTATGACCATTATTAAATTATGATTCTTTAAGTCTGAAAGGGCTCATTCCATAATTTTATCATACATTTTGCAAGGAATTAGTTGAATTTTTCTGTCAGCTAATGCCACGCGTGCATATTTTCATAGACGAAAGCTCTTATGAGAAAGCAAGGCAATATGTGAAGAATTTCTTCAATCATTGAAGGCTAAAGAGACCATTGAGCCTGAACACTGAACATATTTTACAAAGCTAAAGCCAATACAAATAAATAACACCTATTAAGTCCCAAGATATTTTCTTATGGATATCTGAATAGCCTTTGGATACGTCTATTAAATAATCGCTCCTCATAAACTGCCAAAATGATCTTTTTTAATGCAAATACGAGCTCTGGAGTGGGATTGTAAGGTTCATGTGTAATATTTAATATGATATCCTGTTATTCAAATAACCCCACTGTGCTTTTTGGTGTCAGTGCTTCATATTTTATTAAATAAACTTGAGTGATCTTTGGTTAATTACAAGAGCTGTACAAGAGTTAAACATGACTGGTCAGCGTAATCTCTTCATTTAGGATAAAGGTGAATCTGTTTGGTTCATAGACGTACAATATGGAGTCTGTGTTACCCTGAAATCTGTTATTACATTTTCTGGGATCAAATCCAACGTCATTCAATGATCATTACTTTTCCCAGCCGATGATCATAAGTATGGTAGATCACTGGGGAAAGTCAAGTGTGAAACATGAATGTACGGTATTTATGCATTTCACATGTATATAGCCAACACTGCTTGTTGAGTCACATTTATTTATATAGCACTTTATACGATACAGATTGCTTCAGGGCATCTTTACAGTCATACACAGGGGGAAAACAGCATCAAAACAAGTCGTATCAAATCATCAACGTTGCAAAATTCTTCAGTGAGGAGACAATGAATCACTTCTAATAACTAAAAAGCACCTCTAGAGAAGAAAATTTAGCGCCATTATTCAGCTCAAATACGTTCTCGTTCGATAGTTACATAAAACAGTGTGAACTTTAAAGCCGACGCATCGGTTGCACAATCACCATGCGCAAGCAAGTGTTTTTATCTGGGATTTTCAGTCAGTCACTCGAGGTCTCGTCGCAAGTATAGCTCAGTTCTCCACACATCACTTCTCAACGGCGTTCATTAACTAAACTGAATGCTTAAACTAACATGGAGGAAGATAGAATATTATTAAGCAACCCTCTTGTACAATGAAAGTATTTACAATTAACATGATTTACAACTGCAAGTCCCAACATAAACAAAAGCAATGTTATTCGTTTTCCCGAATTAATATTTTGACTTGTCCTTTACAAACAAGCACAATCTTCGCGACTAAAGTTCATTTTAATAAACTTCCCCGTTTATTGCTCTTTATAATTCTCAATATTTCCTTAAATCTGCCGGACCTAAAAAATAACAATAATTTTGCCATCACTAATTGAAACAATGCTTTTCTCTACAACCGAGTGAAAACTCAGGTACAGGTTACTTGCTGCATTCCCACACCCAACACACACACACAGTATATTTTATGGTTCTTTGAAACTCTCCGAGGCATAAAACACTCAGGATTTCTCCTTCGCGTGCCATCTCAGGTGTCTCTTTAAGTGTGCGGACAGGATGAATCTCTGACCGCAACGGTCACATTTAAAGGGCATCGCTCCAGCATGATAGAGCACAGGAGTTTTGAAATTGCACACTTGCGCAATTTTCTTGTCACTGTGAGGACTTGGGCTCGATTTCTCGCCCACGTGAATTTTCATGTGACTTGTGAGGTTTCCTTGATGTCTGAAGTTATTCCCACACTGATGGCACGTGAAAGGCCTCTCTCCGAAGTGACATATGATGTGTTTCTTCAGGTCCCCCTTGCGTGTGAAGCTCTTCTCGCACTGAGTGCACGTGAAAGGCTTGTCTCCGTTGTGAATTAACACGTGGTTCTGGAGGTTGATTTTCTGCGTGTAACTCTTCCCACACTGAAGGCACGTGTACGGCCTCTCGCTGTGGATTGTCATGTGATCCTTAAGGTCTTCTTTACATTTGTAACTCGTTCCACAATGTGGGCATCCAAACGATTTTTTGGCCCCTGGACTTTGTGAGTTTTCTCCTGATGTGAAGCTCTGAGGATCCTGATTTTTCTCCACTTCATTCTGGTCTTGACTTTCCTCTTCCACTTCGATCAGGTCTAAAACGAACAAGACGGTGATGATCAATTGAAGAGCAACAATGGTGAAAGATAAAATGAACCTCATTTGGAGTGCAGAATTATTTTACTATGATTATTGATGTGATAAAATGGCATCAAACGTTGGTAAACAAATACACATATCATCATGGTCATTTAGATAGTTTTTTCTATTCAGGATCAGACACCAACCTTTTTGTTCCTCGGTTTCTTGTTCTTCTTTGACTCTGAATGGTTCTAGATCAGACAGATCCACAATCTCCACTTTAATGAACTCCATCGTCACGCAGATATCGATCGACAAACCTCTGGCTTTTCTCGCTTGTTTGGAAACGGGTCAGCGATTACGATTGAGACGAGGATGAAGATCAAATCGAAAGGGGGGAAAAAAGGCAAAACACAGTATTCTGTTACGGGTGCTCTTAGGAATATAACACAGACATTAAGGTTTGTGGTAAAAGGAAAAGACGTTATCGGCACGTCATATACATTACATGCATTGTAAATAAATACAATCAATAACAACTAACATTAATTTCAACATTGTATGAAACAAAACAGTTGTGGTAACATTACCAAGTTGCTGGAGCAATCTGTGTCAATAATTGTGAACGTTTTGTATGGTTTTATACAGCTGAAAACACAAACCTTTTATCCAGCGGACATTAGAGAAGACGCGGGCGCAGTGCTTATGACGTCACGCGAAGAAGACCCCCGCAAAATAAAATAAAATCAAAATAAAAGTCTCCAGTATATTTCCTGCACTATTGACTAGTGTTTAAATGAAATTAACTTTTTAAATTGATATGGAAAAAAATACGAAACATTACATTACATTTTTTGCGTTAATTTACCTACAGCTCGGACAGAATTCCTGCAAAACTATCTTTTTTTAATAAACAACTTCTCCCCACATAGTTATATCGTTTGTCACAGCAAGGATATGCTGCACAAAAATGAATCCATTATGACAAGCTATTGGGTCAAAGAATGACTTTATTTTGGTTGGCCAATTGTTTATTTACACAGAGGTCACTTCTAAGTATGAAAATTGTGTATTTTATTATGGAATGCGCTGGAATAATATGCTCTCGCTTTTGGAGCCATTTCCGCCTATTTTATTATTATTCTTTTTTTAATTATCATTCAACAACACAAACAAACAAGGTACATTCATAACTCTCTGAATATAACCTCAATTGTTCAGCCTTAGGTTGAGCAGAGCTAGTACAAAGAACAGAAAACACTATAGAACAAACAAATATTTAAGTAAAAAGAAATACAAAAAGAAATAAAATGAAAAAGAAATAATAAAGGAATAAAAGGGTCTTTTTAAATTAATTTAAATGTATCAAAAACATAAATCAATTTAATCAATTTCTGATTTTTAACTTAATTTTAAAGATTTGCACAAGAGTTTAACCTCATTCATCCAGTGATTAAAGTTGGGTTTAGATTTAAACCATCTGCATTTATGAATAAAAAACTTTCCAAAACATAACAAGAAATTAATAACAAAATCACAATCTTTGTTTTCCAGACAAACACCAAACCTAATCAACCTTACCGTGAGAGGTGGGAGTTCAACCTTCCGCCTAATTGTTATTAGTGATGAGCGCTTTCCTTCGTGAAGCTTCGAATCTTTTGCGAATCATTTGTTTCGAACCAGTGAATCGGAGCGCGTATCAAACTGCACAAAGTCACGTGATTTCAGTAAACAAGGCTTCGGTACGTCATAACTATTTTGATATGTTTCGAAATGTCAACGGTTCACTTTTGTGGGAATAAGGATGAAACCATGGATGAAACACTGATCCATTTATTTTTCCAGTGTGAAAAAACTCAAAACATTTGGAATAGTTTATATCTTCATATAGGTAGCACCTTATTCTTCCAAATCCTTTGAAGTTAAAATATAGAATATGTTACTATGAAGGTACAGACCCATATTAGACTTTCTCTGGTACAATTACATTGTTATTTATTTTATTTTTTTTGGAAAATGTTTTATTCACAAGCAAAATTTCTCTAACTCGCTGCCTACTTTTACACATTTCTTAATTGAAATTTATGCATTTCTCAAAATCTCTTAGGTTGATTAAAAACAAGAAAAGTGACAGATTCCTGAAATATTATGTTTTTTTTTTTGGTAATGCCACTGATGCTGTTTCCTCTGTATGTGTTTATCATGTTTTTTTTTGTTTTGTTTTTTTTACTTATATTTTACTAAGATTTTATGTAATTTCATTCCTGTAGAGGTTCTATCTGTTCTTTCCTTATGTCTGCTTATTGTTTGATACATAAAAAAAAAAAGTGTAGATATTTAATGACACAAAATAACAAAAAGACAATATTTAATGGCATTAGATGATTTGTTCATTTAATTTAATAGATTAAACCTTTAATGAAATGTTTGTAATGGGTTTGTAGGTGTTTTCATGCGGTTAGTATTTGAGATTTGGCCAGAGTTTTAAATGTATTTTTTATATGTAGAGAACATCAACTTGTAAAGAGTGATATATTAGTTTTAATTTGTAATCAAATTAATGAAGTGTCTTATAATAAGTTCCTTTAAAGGCTTACATAGGTTTACATAAAGGCTCTAGAATTGGACGTCCTCATATTACACATTGCTGACTGTAATATAATGCTTTTTTCTGAGTGAACCTTTCGAACTATAAGGGTTCCTACGCAGTTTGGGAAAGTATGGAATTTGGAAAACTATTTGCATTTCCAGACCATTGCCCCTATTTAGTTCCCTTTCGAAGGGAACTTAACAATACGTCATTGACGCTTTGGGGAATGCCTCAGGCGTGACAGGTGTCTGAAATCAAGTATCAACTCACAGCAATCATGTTGACCGGCGACAGCCCGTGCATCATCAGCTCGGATGATGAGCACGCAACCTGGATGTATAAAAAGGACGCCTTGAAACCGTGACAACATCCTTTTCGTCTTCAGGGACTGTTTTGTCTGTTTGAGAAGTTAACAACGATGAAGCATACAGAGAAGAGGAGAAATACCTTCCGCAAGTGTGCCGATCCGTGTCCCAGATATCTGACACCGGAGGACTCACACAATCGGTGCGTTTTCTGCCTGGGAGAAGAGCACGTGCAGGAAGCTCTCGAGGGAGCTTCCTGCGCAAACTGTGAGTGTTTTTCTATCAGAACTCTCCGCTCTCGTCTGTCCCACTTCTCGAGGGAAGTGGGCGCGGCATCTGAACCCCGCGGTGCTGGTCCCGCTCGAGCTGAGGCTCAGCGGCGCTTGAGCTCATGGGGCTCTCAGATGGAGCTGGCAGATCAGCTGGAGAGGGGCGTTAACCTCACGGATGATCTGCCAGCTGACGAGGGTGAGTTACAGGTCGATGTAGAGGAGGTTCTTTCTCTTTCGGATGGGTCTGTAACTGGTTCTCTTCGGGCCCGGCAGGAGTCGGCTGCCGATGATGTCAGTCTGGTTGGGACTGAACCATCTCAGCCCTCCTGCCCAGTGTACGCTGAGTTGGTGGACTTTATGGGGCGCGCCACCAATAGATTGCAGCTGCAGTGGAGGCGCGTCCGGGAGGAACCTGCTCATGGTATTTTGGACGATCGGTTCCTCCCTACTCGTAAGCCACCAGCCCGGACGAGCCTTCCATTACTTCCCGATCTCCACTCTGAGATCGAGAAGGCATGGAAGAACCCGTTCTCCGCCCGTCTTCATCTGCATCAGCGGGCTAGTTTCGCTGCTGTGGATGGGGCCACGGAGCACGGGTATGTGTCGATGCCGCCAGTGGTCAAGACGTTGGCCAACTATCTCACCTCTGGTCGGTCTTCGTCACTGGGAGCTCCGACCCTGCCATCCAAGCCGGTTAAGACTACATCACACTTGAATGGCAGAGCATACACGGCAGCAGGTCAGGCAGGTGTGGTTCTGCACACCCTCGCGGTCCTTCAGGCCTACCAGGCCGACCTGCTGCGGGATCTCGATCAGGGGGCCGGCCTGTCCCCTGACGCGGTCGCAGAGTTGCGCCGCACCACGGATTTGGCTCTCCGGGCCACCAAACAGTCCGCTGTTTCCATCGGTCGTGCGATGGCGGCTATGGTGGCCACGGAGAGGCATCTGTGGCTCAACCAGGCTGACATCAGGGAGAAAGAAAAAACCTTTCTCCTCGATTCGCCGGTTTCGCCTTCTGAGCTTTTCGGACCTTCCGTCGTGCTCTGCGGCCAGGGTCCGCAATTAAAACCCGCCAAGCGCCAAATGCGGGTAGAATTTCCGTTTGGCGAGTAAATCTCAAAAGGCTATCTGCCCCACTGGCGGGTGAATGTTCATACCAAAATAGTAATGTTATAAAATATCTGGCATGATGGCTACAGACATGATGGAGTTGTTGTGTTTGCGGGATGGGAATTGAAAACCGGTTCCACTCGAGAAGAACCGGTTCTAAGTTTTATGAACCATCGATATTGTATGCCCTCGACGTTAACGAGTCCTCTTATCGATGCTCCTGCTCCAAAGCGAATTTTTGTAATGTAGGCGAACTGCTGTGCGTGTGACAGGGGGCAACTGAAGAACAAGCAGAGAGAGAGCCCGGGTCGCGCGCACGCGCGCACTCTTTCTCTTCGGAGCCAGGCGAAACTATAAACAAGGCTTCACCGTCTCCTAAGCACTGTTTTGATCGCTCTCCCTGACACATATTAATCAAAATAAATCGACACGATGGTAAAAGGTCGGAAGACCATAGTTTCATGTGAAGCATTCGGATATATATTTTTTCCTGAATTACCGCTGGGTGTGAATTGTGCTAAAATACCTTATCTTCTCTGAAAAGCGTTCCGCACATTCAACTGACATAAACCACACTTTAAATAAATGAAAAAACCTATCGTATCCAGTGATTAAATGTTTTCTGTGTTGACACAAATCTTGTGGGATGTCCTAGCTGCCGGGATAATCACACAACGCGTACACATCCGATAATGACACGTCCAATTTGCGAACTAATGACTCCTTTGAACCGATTCATTTTAATGAATGGTTAAAACAACTGATATTTCCAGTCCTTCAGTTACTGATCGGATCAGTCAGAGTAAATGGAGTAAAAAAAAATGGCAGAGTAAAACTAAATATTTTTTTGAAATAATTATAATACATTATTATTGGATATATTTTATTAAATATACAATTAATACATTTCATTTGTACAGAACTATTTTCATAGGCACCAGCACAAAAATATTATTTTAATGTGTGTAAATTGTGTAATATGTGTGTAAATAAAAGTAAAAATGGAAAATAATCGACCAGAAATATAATGACAAAAATGTTTAAATATAGCCTAAATATAAATGAATACACAAAAAGGCTGTTTATTATTTTGACCAGTAAAAATATGCTTGGCTGGTGGATTTTTTTCATCGACCAGTCCCTGTGGCAGGTGAGCCAAAAAGTAAATTTCGGACCCTGTCTGCGGCGTTTAAGAGCTGCATACCGCGGAGGTCCTCGGCCCAGCCCAGGCAGGCGGGAGGGCCTGGTCCGTCGTGGTCTGAGAATCACAGACAGACCCAGAAGGCCAGTGTCGCTTCCCGTGCACCCCCTCCTCCTAGCAGAGGGACCAGGGCGCGCAGGAGGCGTAACTCCCGCGGGAGGCAGGATCTCAGGGAGGTGATCCAGAGGAAACGTTCTCAGACCGAACGTTAGACATCACCTCCCTGGATATTGTCTCCTAACCACCATCGCTCCCAGGCTCCTCCTACAT